GTGGATACGCCAACCAAGTGGGATAACTGAGCGTGATCCAACTTCTAATATTGCTGAACGAAGGGCGAGAAGAAGCGGAGGCAAGCGCTACGAACGCAAGTCCATCACTTCCCGCGCTGCGCCTTACCTAAAATAACAATGTGAGGAATAAAAAAACACATTAACAAAAAAGAAGTTATTTACAGGGGTATCGAATTTTTTCCTCTGTAAAAATCTGTGAATACTAATAATTGCGAACATTAACATCAAGCTCACTTCGTTCAAGCGGATCTTAGGATGCCCGGCAACCGCTGCGAGCGTGCATGTTCCTTGAAACCGAAACTAGTGGGGATTTTCCGGGGTCTGGCTCAGTGAAAAAACTTGATCGCTGAAGGCAGTGGCACTTTCCATGCATTTGAGCAAAGGAAAGGGGACGCGCTCTCTTGATAAGTCCAGGGGGCGGAAACTCCCTATACCTGTATTCGCTCTCGCATGCCGATAGGCAGTATCACTGGTGAGGTCATCGCTTCCTATACCGATATGTGGCTCTATGACCAAGAAACTGCTTGCAAATGGCCATTTAAAGTTTTATAAGGTAGCGTGTGCAAATTTGTATCCAGCGTGGAAAGCGCGACATGAGACCTCGTCTTTTGACACGCTGACACGCAGCTAGGAATATCACGCGCAAAGCTTTGAGTAACGCGCGCAGAGCTTTAAATTAGCGTCTATGCTGCTACGCACACGTCATACGGCACTCTCTATGGTGTGCACGGGAAGTTACAAAAATAGTATATGGTGCCGATCGAAGCACCGCTAGCGCTACTAACCTTATTCTACTGCCGCTACACGTGTTGAAACAAAAAAAAATGGTTGATCTCCCTTTTTAGGAATCTGTATAACACGAAAGCTAACGTGTCCTCGCAGAGGTAGTTAAGCAATAATTGTGCATTGTTTCGGCACAAGGGCTAAGTAATGATTGCTGCAGTCATGCAAAAAATGGCAAGCAGCCCGAAACTTGCAGTGCCCCCCTCAAGCAGACAGTAGCACGGAAGCAGGATACCCAGGACGAGCGCCGACAATATATATACTGTCACGGCTTCACACTTAAGCACGCTCCTCAAACAGAAAGGAAGACGTATGAAATGAACGCATAAGTATACACCTCTAGAAGCGCAAAGAAAGGTCGCAATTCTTACTTCTTCATGTGTGAGCAGCGTGGTCTTTTCGTAGAAGTGGCCGTGGCAGCAAGCGAAGTGACGTTCGTGCTCTCTTTAACTATTATATCTTCAATGCAATCTTTCGGTGGAAGCACAAGAGGTACAGAGCGCCCGAATACCGAGATAAACCAGCGCGCGAGAGAGGTACTACGCCAGATAACATATATACGCTCTTTGACCCCGCATTGTGGTGGCACGCAAGAACGTCGATGCGCGAGTAGGCCAGCAGAACGACTTTTAGAGCGTGTGTGGTCGTCACGCTATCTCGCTACTGATGACAAAAACGCGCTGAAGTGCCGAGCTCTGGGGATTTCCAGCGGTATATGGTGTATATAAATGGGTTGCCGTTAGCATGTTGCAGCAGGGTGGGTCGCCCAGTGGCTCAGTGATTAGCGGCATGCGCTCATGAGCGCGAGGTTGCTTGTGTGGTGCCCCGCTGCAAAAGTTTTTTCTTCTCGTTTTTCTTTTTTCGCAATCTGTCTGTAAATGTTTTACAACGCCATATCCGTGATGGAAATACGTCACGGAGTGTTGGTGGAACACGGCATAAAACACTTTCGTGTTGAATAAACAGCCGGGCGGCGAGCATTCCTCGATTATTGGTGCGTCCCATGTGACAGGTCCTCTTCTTGCCTTTGCTGTTAAAGCGGCCATGAACAACAACTCAGAACTGGCGAGAAAACACATCTGCAAATAGTGAACATACCCACAAACGAGAGAGCCAAATCTTGCAGTCTCGCGCTGCAAGGAGAGTTCACAAGCGCAGCCAGAAGTTGCCATTGTATTTTAGGCGCATTGGTCTTTTCAACAAAGGCCCACTCTCAATCGCTTCGGAGCTACAGACGCCCGCTGTTTGACATCGTACTGAAGTCAGCACGCTGTTGGTCGACAGCCGACATAAATTAAGAGTGGCATAAAAACCTAATAATATCGTTAATTGTTGAGATTTAACGTCTGAAAACTACCGTAAGATTACTAGAGAAGTCGTAGTGGAAGGCTCTGGAAATTTCTTCTGCCTAGGGTTCTGTGGCGTGCACCTAATCTAAGCACGCGGCCATCAAGCATTCAAGCCTCAATCAAAAATGCAGCTGGTGCGGCCGCGACGTGCGGCTCAGCAGCCGAGTGTCTTAGCCACTAGACCACTGTGGCGGGTAGCGTTAAAACCTGGTGTGCTTCCGGGTGAGCCGCCACATGACCGAGCACTCCTGCATAGTCTGCTAACAGAACGTAGTGAAGGAGGAGGAGAAGTGGTTGAGGAAAGGAAAAGACGCAACTTGTGGAGCCCAAGTGTGCGTGACGGGTAGCATTAAAACCTCATGTGGTCCAGGGGTGCCGCCATATGACCGAGCAGTGCTGCATAGTCTGCTAACAGAATGTAATGGAGGAAGAGGAGAGGCTGAGGAATGGAAAAGACGCAACTTCTGCATTTGGAGCACGGCTTAGCGCCAAACATAGTGGGTCACGATCGCTAACAGGTATCACAATGGGAGAGCGCGGTCACGTTTCATCGCGCGCGCTCATGGTCCTGGCGTGCACTGTGGTAACCTCTTTGGCTTTTGCTATCTTTGCGCACGCTCCTCGGGGAGAGGAAAAACACTTAAATTACGCGACAAACTTCTGTAACTCCCCTCGTTTAGGATGAATTTGACAAATATTTGCGGCAATCGGTTTGCGAGGCTCTAAACTCCAAGACAGAGGTAATTCGATAATTGCGCGAGCGGTATTTCATGACACTTTGAAATTAGCAGAATGCTTGGTTTCGGCTCATGGTCCATATATCACCTATGTGTGTCACACACTTGTTCGTGTATGTTTTTAATGTAAGATTCGAAATTTGTTTGTACTGATCTTTGAGAATCACCAGCTATACGACTACATCAATATTAGTGTAGCATACCGGTCGTTCTAGACTGGTTCTAGACGGCCTTTTCTTTCCCTCCTGTTCTCTAGTACTGTTTGTGTCGCCTATAAAAGAAAACTGCCTACTTATTTATTTATTTATATATACTAAGGGCCTCTAGGGCATTACATAAGGGGGGTTTCATACAGTAATCAGTGATAACGGCAATTTTTTTAACAAGAAGAAAAGACAATAAAGCATGCACAGGATACACAGTCCGTCAACCAAGATAAGCAGGGAATAACACAGCAAGGTTTTCACAAGCGAGCACATTGAAAAAGCTGCACGACACGTTATACAGCAATGCCTAAGATTGTCCGACACATTCAAGGTACGCAAATAATGCAGACTGAAAAGATGATTGCTGTGTACGCGTTACAATGCTGGCAGGCAGAGCGTTTCATTCGGTTATCGCTAAGACAAGGGGTGAGTATTGGTGTTTTTTTTGTGCGAGAAAATGTAGGTTCAATTTTATGATCATGGTCAACGCGTGCGGAGATGTACAAAGCAGGGTGAATGAACGTATGGCGGAACGGCGAATAACTCAGTCAAGCTGTACGATCCTCGGATTTTGCAGCTTTTAGTGCGGGCCCCTGTCATCATGTACACAATGATGATGAAATAAACGTATTATTATTCTTATTATTATTATTACTGTGGTATAATTTGTGGAAGAAAGATAAGCGGAAATATTACCTGCGCTAGCAAGAGGGGGGAGATATAATTTTTTCTTAGAAAGGAAGAGATCCTCCTTCTCTGGTTAAAAAGAAAAAAAAAACGTCTATACGTACTGAAACCGAATGAACCGCACGCTCACACTGCACGGCCGCTGCGTTTGGCACATCTGAAAAAAATAATCTTCGCGGGCTGGTATGGTAGTCTTGGCGTCGTGATTTCAATATCGCCCACTGCGGTTGCATTTCAGCGTTAGCGAAATGCTACCTCTGTAGCGTGTGATTCGCTTCGAGATAAATTCAACACTAATAATGTAACCGTCGATAGGCTTCGTTAGAAGTGCTTGTCGCCTGATAAATCGACAGGCGAGAGAATTTTTATACTCCGTCAAGTACAAGCTCTGCTACAGGGATTATTTTCACGCTTCTAGCACTTTTTCTCTCGTTTCGCACCGACACGAGCACATTGAAAGCTATGCATGTAGGGCGATGACTAGGGGGAGCGAGTGAGAAAGCGAAAGAGTTTTATTTGGCCCGCAATAGACTCGAGTTAACTCAACGTGTTGGGAAAAAATGTGGGTATCCTCGTCAGCGCACCTGCGAACATTAAGCACTTTGCTTTGTTTCTTCGAACGCGAGGCTTACTTCCGTGTGATCGCGAGTGCGGGCACGGGAAAGTACTTTAGCGGCATCTCGCGAAGGCCACTATAATTATACATCGCACAGCACTACAATCAGACAACGACCGTGGATTTCGGATTGATGGTGAAGTCGTTTGAATTTATGGCATAATTTTTCGACAGAATTGGGAACAATTTCTAGTTCATTTGGTGAAGGAATTATGAGAGGATGCGTGTGCACACGCTACGCTAATGTTTGACTCGCGTGTTCTCAGGACCCTCGACTACCAATCGGCAGCGCGTTTTGACTATGTAGAAAGAAATGTTGAGGGGCCCCTTTAAGCGACGCAAGTAGTTGGACCACCAGAGATTTGCGGTCGGTGAAAATGAAAAACTAACGAAGCTCTTGCGTTGAAATTCGGAGCTTGCTAATTTTCCTGCAGACATTTTACGCTGCGCATCAGCCTCACAGACTCTTAATGAAACTTAGAAGCATGACTTGGAAGGGTTAAGCCTAGCTAAATGTTCTGCACAGTAAAATGCGGTGTCGTCGCAGAAAGCTTATTCATTTGTGATTCTTGTGTTTTTCCGTGTGGTCTCGGCAACGCAGGTCTTGTTGTCGACGCGGGTCTTCCAGCGTGGCGGGGTGACCGTGCCGACCGTGATGCCGAGGCTGTGAGGCTGCTTCGGGAGGCTGGTGCCATTCCCGTGGCCACGACGAACACGCCTGAGTTGTGCCTCTGGACAGAGTCGTTCAACAAGTTGTACGGGCGCACACTCAACCCACACGACACTCGGCGCGCAGCCGGCGGAAGCAGCGGTGAGGTTGAACAATCTGCGAATTTGCAGGAATACATAAAGCGATGACTGTGAAAGTTCAATTTAGAAGCAGGTACGACCATGGTTAAATGTACCTTCAGAGTGCGTAACTGGTTCTATAGAACCAGTTGCGCTGTGAGAACTGCCAAATATATGCCAAACTCGTGACCCATGCTTTGTGATCGACTGCCAAATATATTTGGCAGTCGATCACAGAGCATAGGTTACGAGTTTTCTAGTTCTACATCACAGTAATCAACCTTGCATAACTTCAACTGCTGCAGTTGCGCACGTCTTCAGTAGACATAAACGTCTCACCAAGTGTCATTATATCTAGATTTCCTGAAATATTCTAACCATTTTTTTGCTGAACACTCTCTGCGGCACTGTAGGTCGTGATAACTTGTGAGATCTGCAGTGCGTGGCGGAGCGATGGTAACCTTCACTGCTGCTCCATCTATAGTCAAGCGGCGAGGTGTTTGGGCTATCGGCCACAGCCTTTGTAATTAGCGAAGACGCGATTAAGCAATTCGCCGTTGAAAGATGTAATCGTGTAGGACGCGCATGATATCCTGGATAAGCGGCGTGATGGTAAGTGCAGCAGCAGTGAAGCTTTCTGTCACTCCACCACGCGCTGCAATTACCAAACGCTTTCGCTGCTGTTGGGCAATCTTGTACCCCAGAATTGAGAATAGTAGTATAAAATTGATTGTAACGTGATAACTAGCGGAATACGCAGGCTTTTATACATGAATAGTAAGCTTCCAGCGTTATCGCTGGGGCTGGCGCTGCCTCCAGGAAAAAAAAAACTTGATTTCTGGAGAAGTGTGCGCTATCTTATAAAAATAATAGTCTAAAACAATCAAGAACTTCTCAAACATTTGAGCATGGCCTGCTGCGAGCAGTAAAAGCAGTTAATTACATTTTTTTTGCGGGTTAAGCACGATCACACCAAAACGAAGAAATAAACGTGCGTTGCATCAAGTGTTCATCCTAATATATTCGAAAAATTCTGTTACTTTCGGTTTTGAAGACATACAGGTGCGCTTCCTTGAAAGCTACTAGATTATTTGCCACTGGTACGGTCGCACTGAGGGAATAATCCAGCCGCTAATATGATTCGCACATGGCGATTTGCTTGAGTTTTCTTTGCCAGTGCAGGAGGCGAAGGCAGCCTTATATCTGCAGCGGGTGCGCTCTTGGGCATCGGCACCGACATTGGTGGCAGTATACGACTCCCGTCTACATACTGCGGCACATTCGGGCACATGACCACGCCTGGTACGTTTGTTGGCTCTCATATCTTTAACAGGTCAATAGCGAAAATTTCTGCGTTTGCTCCTCGCACCTTAGAAGTAAATTTCTTTGATCTTGGACGACGACGAAGTGTATTTCTGCCGAACGCGGCCTATTTCGTTTGGTGTTTTTTGTGTGAATTTACAATTTATCCGAGGATAATCGCTCTCCTGCGGGCAGCGATGGATCCAGACCCCCCCCCCCCCCATACGCAATCCAGACTTGGCGTCACCTTCGACGTCAACATCAAGGAAGCGCAAGAGCCGGGAGGACGACAGCACCAGTGACAGCACTGAACTGTACACGGCGAGTAGTGAAGACAGCGACGACGATTTCATCCCTGCAGTGAAGCGTAAAGCTAAAAGGAGAATGGTCAGCGCGTCTTCTCCAGCTAGCGTCTCTACCGTGAAGGCGGCGTGCAGTTCTGAACGCCATACCATACTTTTTGTTCCTGTCGACTCTTCGATCAACCTGAAGAACATGAACAGGCAAGTAATATCAGCGCGTCTCGAAGCTATCGTGCCTAATGAGATAAAGGATATTAGACTCAACCCACGGAAGAATATCTTGGCCATAGACGTTGAGAACCCGGCTGCGCTACATACCCTGCGAACTGTCACGGAGCTAGCTTGGAGGCATCTATCTCAGAACTTACATTCCGCAGGATAGTGACACGACGACGCGCGTCATTTTTGACGTTGATGTTTCCATACCGAACGCATATCTTCCTGTTCTGATAAAGTCGCCACTGGGGCAACGGACATATTGCAAGTATGCCGGCTTGGCAAATCCCGTTGCATCAAGGTGACCTTCAGAGGTGATTGCATCCCATCACATGTAAAGGTTGGTCATTTTCGTCACGTTGTCCGACCGTACATCCCAAGACCACTACAGTGCCACAACTGTCTAAAACTGGGCCATGTTAGTGCTGTGTGCAACAACAAGCAAGCATGCCCACGTTGTGCCGGACCCCACGAAGCAGAGGCTTGCCAATCAACTCTCCTAAAATGCAGCAACTGCAACGGGAACCGTGAGACCTCGTCCAAAGACTGCCCAGTACTGAAGAAAGAGAGGAGCATTCTGAGACAAATGGTTAAAGACGGATCCTCACGAAAGGAAGCGGTAACGGTTGTTCAACGACGGCGTTCTCATCGACGGCAGTGCTCGAAGAAAAGAAAAAGCAGTCCTGTGCCGAAGGTGTCTTCACTTACGCCGCCACCGCCACGACCACCACCACGACCACAGAGACCTCCCCCGCCCCCGCCACCAGGGGGGGTACGTCCAGAGGTGCCAGAAGACACTGTGGCACAAAAGAGAACATCCGGCTCTGACTGGCCCGCTTTACCGCGGGTACACGTGTCTACGGAACCACAATATCGACAGTCAACAACGAATATGCCCCCAGCAGGCAGTCTGTCCGCCCAAGAGGTACAAGTTTTTTAAGTGTGAATACACTTTATAAGCGACACCAAACCATCCACCGCCGTCGGCGGCGTCCGCAGTCTTCTCTATATTTTTAAAAGAAAGAGGACTTGGCGGGCTGCAGCGCGACGCTCTACCGAATAAGCCACGGACGCGACGCTGTTATCGGTGCCAGTAAGGCGCCTTATATCTTTAACGCTGCTGCGCGCGTCCGCCTTCCCCTTCGCTCGCCCCCTCCGCTCTCCTCGCTCGCTGCAGCTGCGCGCACACCCCTCTCTCTCGCGCACCCGCCTTCTCTCTCAGTCTCCCGTCGAGAGCGGGTCGTGCGATGGATGTCCCGGAGGCAACGCTTCCATCAACAACGAATGCAGTACAACCGAATGCCAGCACTGCACCCGTCGTTGGAGGTGATGGTACCGCGGTGGTTTTGCCGACGTTGGAAGACAAGGCGGCGCTGCGAAGGGCTCGTGAGACCGAACGTAAGCGGGCGAAGCGTGCAGCGGATGCCGAACTGCGCGCTCGCGAGGCCGAGGACAAGCGGGCGAAGCGTGCAGAGAATGGTGAACTGCGCGCTCGCGAGGCCGAGATGAGGCGTCAGCATCGAGCCGCGAACGCGGCCCAAGAAGCGGAACGACAACGCGAGCGTCAGGTGGAGAAGGGCGATGAAGGCCGGCGTCAAGACGCCGCTCGCAATCGTCAACGGCGAGTGGACGTTCCCGAAGCCGTTCGAGCCAGTAAACGTGCCGCGCGGGAGAGGGTGCGAGCCCTGGACTTCGCTCGTCCGGACGCGCATTTCAAACGTGACTTTGTGGATCGCAGCTTCGGTCACAGCTGCGCCGTGTGTGACCGGCTGTGGTTCGATAACAACCTGAGCTGCCTTTCCGGCGTGAGAAAGGAGACCAGCCGGTTGAACGCGTTGCGGGTTCTTTGGAACGAGTTCGGAAGACGGTCGGGCGAACACCGATGCGACGACATGGATGTGCAAAACCCGCGGCTGGCTCCCTTCGGTGCGTTCCGGGTGTGTGCGTCTTGCCGAGAGTCCCTGCTGGCCGGGCGGGTTCCGCCGTTGAGCGAGAGCCACGGCTACGCGTACCCGCCTCGTCCCGCGGACCTCCCCGATCTGAACCCGGTGGAAGAGCGCCTCATCTCGCCTCGACTCCCCTTCATGAGCATCAGGCGGCTCACGCGGGGCAAAGGTCAGTACGGCATCAAAGGACAGATCGTGAACGTGCCCATCGACGTTCCGAGCGTGGTGGAGTGTCTTCCGCGGCTGGTTCCCGAGGACGTTGCGATAGACGTGCACGTGAAGCGGAGGCTGGTGAGTCCGGCTACGTACAGGCGCGGACTGGTGAAGCGCGGTAAAATCTTGGGGTGGTTGAAGCACCTGGAGCATGCGCCGTTGTATGTCGCTAGCGGCGTGCGCATTGACTGGAGTCGGCTGGGTGTCTTAGATGACGATGATGCGGCCGTTTGTGAAGGTGAACGCGCCCAGGGGGGAGACGACGCGGATGACATCGAGACTGTCCCCGAGAGCATAGATTTTGACGACCCCGTGCAACTAGCCATTGCCCTCAATGCCATGTCAAATACGATTTTTTAATGAGGAGGGTGAGCAACGACCGCGCGCTCTCTTGATGAGAGATGATGAGGAGCGAAGCGGTGAACTGGACGATGCCGCTGCCGCTGACAAGCTGATCGATCAGTCGCATAGCCTGCACCTCGCTCCGGGTGAGAACCGCGTCCCACTGGCGCTCTTCATGGATGCGTATGCGGAAGAGCTCGCCTTCCCCACGATATACATGGGCGTGCCTCGAAGATCATCGGTCCGCGTTCCACGCCAATCGCCATGGCCAGCAGCGAGATACGGCGCACCAACCGGCGTGGAGCAACGCCGGAGCACGTCTTGTACATGGCCGCGAAGGCGATGCGGTACAACGTTGCGGAAAGCGACATGATGTTTCGCAACAACGAAACCACTGGTTCCATCACGCGCGAACAGCTCGAGAGTGGCGGTAAGAAGTTCCTGGAGGAAGTGCTGGACCGCGGCCTCGCATTCATGCGGGGCGTTCCAAATACGGTCCAGTACTGGCAGGATCGCAGGAGTGAACTCTTCGCAATGATCCGCCAGTTGGGCAAGCCGCACGCGTTCCTGAGCATGTCCGCGTCCAAGGTCCACTGGGAGCGCCTGCTCGAGACCCTGGAGCGGCTGCGGGTTGGGCCCGACGGCACGCCTCGGCCCGTGTCCGAGATGATGGCCTGGGAGCGCGTGGAGCTCGTGAACGAAGACCCCGTTGCCTGCGCGACGTACATCAACAGAATCTTCGACGTCATCATGAACGTGCTCGCCGACCGAAACTGCTCGCCGTTCCGCCGGTACGTGATCCGGGATTACTTCATGCGGGTAGAGTTCCAGCAGAGAGGAAGCGCGCACGTGCACGTGATCCTGTGGCTCGAAGAGGCGTCCGACGAGGAGCTCACCGGTGAGGAAGGTGCCATGCCCAAGACCCTCGAGATAGTGGCCCAACTCCTCACGCTCGACACTACGCTCCTCAGGCAGCCGCGCACGCAGACGCATCAGCACACCCACACGTGCTTCAAGCGCGGCTGCACCAAGTGCCGGTTCGGGGTGCCCTTCATGCCCAGTGAGGAAACGAGGATCGTGGTGCCGTTTCCCCCTGCGCCGGAGTGAGACGATGCAGAGAGTGAGCGGGAACGCCAGCGTCTCAAGGCCCTCAAGAAGAAGTATGATGAAATGCACGAGGGCCTCGAGTCCGGCGACTTTGAGGATCTCGCCTCGTTCCTACGCGCTTTCGGCCTGCACTCCGAGAAGGAGTATATGGATGTCCTGCGCGCTGGCCTTTCGCGACCCTGCGTCCGCCATCGAAGGACCCCGGCGGAGAAGTTTGTGAATGCATTCAACGCATGGATAGGCCGGGTCTTGGATACGAATATGGATATGCAGATAATACTCGATCACTACGCGTGCGCTTCCTACGTGGTGGACTATGTCAATAAGTCAGACCACGGAATGTCCAACCTCAAACGCACCGTTGCCGAGATCCTCAAAACGAATCCCAACGACGACATCGAAGCCGTGATCCACAAGCTTCGTGTGGACATCCTTAAAGGAATTGAAATGTCGGCACAGGAGGCGGCCTGGTTTCTGCTCAAACAGGACATGTCGCACAAGAGCCGGGAGGTGGTGTACGTCCCCACTTGCTACCCCGAAGAACGGGTGCGCGTACGCAAAACGCGTGCCGAGTTGGAGGCGCTCCCTCCGGGCTCCACCGACGTCTGGAAAGCGAACCTCGTGCAAAAGTACGAGGCCAGGCCGCCTACCCTCAACGACGTATGCCTCGTCGACTTCGCCAGCAAGTACCGGCCGGGGGAGGGTGATTGCCGTTACGTGCTCAGGGTATGGCCGGCTGTGATACGCTACCGCGGATACAACCCCGGTAAAGATGTGGAGTCGTATATGCGGGAAAATGTCCTTCTATACGTCCCGTTCCGAAGCAAAACGGTTGATGTGTTGGATGGTAATAGGTATGTGTCCATCTACGAGA